CCAAAGAACACACCTGGTCCCGGTCATGGTCTATGTTGTGGTCTTGGTCCAGTCCGCAGTGGGTGAGGGTCAGCAGATGGTTGCCTTGGAGACTTACAGCCCAGAATTGGGCCCTGAATGCCACGCCCTCAACGGAGAACCACGACAGGTTCTCCAACTGAAAACAAAACCCAATTTTTTATACATCTACGTGCACATACTGATTCTCTCTCACACACGTAGACAATGAAACATTTTTTTTTAACACACACAATGCACAGATTTCCCTCACTAGTAGAGAATGTGCGCCGAATTGTCAAATGCGCACTAGTATTTGGCCAATTGAGCGCACGAGTAGGATGTGGAGTAAAAGCCAAAGCGTCTTTCCATCTGACGGACGTACGTAGAAGGAGACGTTGAAGGCGGGGAAGGCGTCGTCTTCCTTGTCGTCTTCGGATTGGATGACAAAGCGGGCGGGGCTTTGATCTCTGAAGGGAGATGAGCTGCCGTTGGATTGACCGACAGACAGATGACGGACGCAGGGACGGACGGACAAATGACTGACATTGTAAAGAGGAGGTCCGTTTCATATTTGAGAGGGAGGGTGATGTCGTTGTAGTTGTCTTCGGGGAAAGCGTCTTGGCCTTCGCTGGAACACGCACACACAGCCACATCTCATGTTTTTTTTCAACTGTTGAGTGCGTTTGTGTGTCTCGTGGCCTCACCTGGTGGCTGCCACGGCGATGTGAAGGTGGTCCAGAAAGACCGAAGAACTGAACTCAAACTCCACTCGGAAAAACACCTGGACAGGAAAAGCATTCGTCCATTTTCGAAAGAGGCGGGTGACCTCATCAATAGGTCGTCAGAAGAAGAAGGGAGCGGTCGCCATCTAGCCGCCGTACCCGAGAAGAGGCCTTCATGAGAGGCGCGCTGATGTTACATCTGGTCCGATTGGTCTCCTGAGGGAAGCACTCCATCTGCACGTCGGATTGGTCCTGTCGTGGAGGAGCGGGCGCTCAACAAGAAGGACAATTGGCCGCGGGCCGGCCGGAAGTTTGGTTACCTTGACAACGAGGCCGGCGAAAATCAGATTTGGCGAAGAGGAGAGCAGGACGGACGACCTGTAGGCGTTCTCTCCTCGGTTCTCCAGGCGGGCGAGGAGTGCCACCCTCCTCCGCGTGGTCTCCACCAGCCAGCTGTCTCCAGGCGCCCCCTGCTGGCGGCACGCTCGCCGCTGCAACCCTTCCGGGGAAGCGCACCAGTGTCTGCGCACAAACGCCAGTTTTGTTTTGTTTTATACTCTGCACGTGTGTGTATGTGTGACAGAGACTCACTGAAAGTTGATGAGGTCAGTGTGACTCTCGATGACAAGGTCCGGAACGCAAGCGTCTTCATCCCTGCAGCCGTTCCAAAATGGAAGCTGCAACAAAAACGAGTTTGATGCTAAATTAAGCCAAATGCAAAGTCAATGAAGCTCCAGTGGGCTGTTCACTCTGCTCGTGTTTACAGTGTTAGCAATTAGCATCCTAGCAAGCGTTGCAGCGTCAACATGCTAACGAGGCGTCACGACCTCACCTCGGCCTTCAGTGTGCTCGGCCAATCAGGGTCCAGGATCGGCCCATCGTCGGAACTCCGTAACCCCGCCTCCAGCCCCACCGCGATTGGACGGCTGTAATCCATCGTGTCCTAGTCGCGGGACCACTCAGACTGTCAGCGTGTGAGCGCGTGCGGCTATGCGCATGCGTGTGAGTGACCTGCACTGTGAAGGCGTGTCGCCGGCATTGTGGCCTTCCGGTCGTGAGCGTCATGGTTTTCGTCTGAAGACCTTCGCGCTCATCCAGGACGGCTCGATGAGGAACTCGCTTCTCGTCCAAATTCAGATAGTAGTGCGCTGCTGAGGAGGGGGCGGAGTCAATGGGCAGAGTCAGGTGTGACCGGGAACTGATGCACTGATGGCTCATTGACGGCTTGTTTCCCTGTTTGCATGTTTGTGTTTGTCCACCTGTGGGGTTGTGTGAGTGTGTTTGAAGAAAAATGTACGTGCAAATTTTGTTTGTGTGTCAGTGTGTGCTTGTGTCTTTGTGTGTGTGTGATCAAATGCATATGTGCAAATAAATTACAGTACTGCGTGCGTGCGTGTGTGTGTGTGTGTGTGTGTGTGTGTGTGTGTGTACGAGCATGTGAGTCAGTCTGTGCATTGTGTGCGAGTGTGTGTGTGTGTGTGTGTGTGTGTGTGAGATCAAATACATATGTGCAAATGGATTAATGTGTGTGTGTTTGTGTAGGAGCATGTGAGTTTAGTGCTTGTGTCTATGCGTGTGTATGTGAGCGTGTGATGTGCTCCAGATGTGTTCAGTGTCCACGTGTCAAATTGTCATCCAAACAGTGTGACGGGTCATACGGGTCCACCAATAATGGCGCTAGCAGTGGAAAAATTCTCAACCAGCGTGCTGTCATTATTCCTCTACCACACCAAATTGTATTACTGGCAATGGTCAACGAGGGTACAAGTGCAAGGATAATCCAGTGCACTGGTGGACAAAACGCTGAAAGCGTTTGCCATCATGCCGCACGTACCGACATGTTGGCCGGCGGCGGCGTGCGTGCCGGCCACGTCGTGAAGCCGCAGGCACACCGTGGCGGCCATGCAAGTGACCGGTTTCCCTCCTCTCCAGCAGTCCTTGTGGAAAACGTTGACTTTCTCAGGCTCGAACGTCAGCGTGGACTCCAGACGCACGACCCGCCGACACCTGTCGTGGGGGGGTGGGATCATACGATGGGTGGGCGGAGCTGGTTGCGCCCCACGTCACACATACCACTCACTCAAACTAACCGGACAATGACGGCGGCTCCCAGTGCTCCGACGGCGACACTCACGTCGCCGTCATCGTTCTTGGCAGCGTCAAGACTTTGGCCAAAGTATTTGAGTCCCATGTCGAAGGTGGCTGCGCAAAGGCGCTGACAAGGAACACGGAAGATTTGTTACGATCGTCACACGGTGACGATCATCCCAATTACAGCAAGACCAAACTAGTTTGGGTGACGGCCTCTACTGTCCTTCCTGCTCCCACCTGCGTGTGGCGCAGGTGTATGCTCCGATGGTGGCCGTGATACAAGTAGAGCGCACCCTGGTGGTCGTCCTCCAGCGGGGCGCCCACCGCCAGATCGTTAAAGCCGTCTGCGTTTACATCGGGAATTTGAACCAGCGCCGCGCCAAAGCGGGAATTGAGAGCGGGTGACGGTAGCAGCGCCCCCTTCGGCACCAACAGAGCCTGTGATCACACACAAACACACACGCACACACACACGTATGTCGGGTGTGTACATGTAGGTGTGTCCTAATCTGTGTGTGTGTGTGTGTGTGTGTGTGTTGTGCATACCTGTGATTGTGTGTTGACTTTATAGAGGTATACTTTTCCCGTCTCGTGCGCATCTTGACTGCAGTACATAGGCGCGGCCACTAGGAGGAGGTCACTCTCGCCGTCGCCGTCCACGTCCATCGACAACAACACGCTGCCAAAGTAAGAACCCATCTGACGCGCGCGCGCGCACACACACACACACACACACACACACACTATTATACAAAACAGAGACATTAATACATAATACCATATGATCCAAAACACAATGAGACAACACACACACAGTTCTACACACATGCACAATGACGCAATACAAACAAACAATTATACAACACACGTCCAATGACACAATGCACACACACACCGTCATGCAAGTGTGTGATGACGATGTCACATTAGGGGCCGGGGTCCGACCTGCTCTCCAACAAGTGCTTGCAGGACGTTGACGTTTCCACGGCGATCCAAGGTGAAGCTGACGACCTTGCCGCTATGGTTGAACCGGGGCGCTCCCGCCAGCACCACCTCCGACCCGCCCGAGCCCACAAGCGACCCCAGCGAGTACCCTGCGAGAGGTGGGCAGCGTGAGCCTCGGCTGGCAACTCGCGTGGCCGCCGTCGTGTCATACCGAAATAGGCGGCGTGGTTCCGAAGCTCTTCGGGGAATTGGTCGCCGTACGCTGACGGATCGGGAAGGAGATTTCCATGCGGGTTGCGCTTGAGCACGGCGCCGTTCCAGTCGTACGCGCCCACTGCGCCCAGCAGGAGGCCGTCCTGCAGGGCCAGAAAAGCGCAACGCTTGTCACGCTCGCAGGTCCGATCCATGGGAGCCTTGGCATTGACTGGCGACCAATCGATTGTCAGGTGACCCCTCCCACATTTGTGTGCCCCGGGATAATTAGCAACCTGATGAGGTTTTGTTGGGGGGTTCGCTGGGAGAGGGGAATGCGCGAAAGGAATGTTCTGGAGCGGGATGACGGCCGTTCCGCTCTGCTCACACACGCTGGGCACACGTCCACCATCTGCTTTCCACGTCGACGCTCACCTCGACCGATTCCACGTGTGCGACACCCGACCCCGAGTGGGAAACTAAAGAATCTTCCGGCTGTTGCCGTGGCGACGCTTCATTCCAGGCCAACTGCTGCGGGCCAGGAAACTTCTGGATTGTTCAAATGACGACCTGCGCATTCGCCTCCCAAGATTGAGCCAACTCACTAGCACGCTAGCATTAGCATGAGTGGATACCACACCTGCTCGTATGGAAGAATTGTTTGCGTACTGTTTGGCGTGTTTTTGTTGTGTTGTCTTTTTGCACGGTCTGTCTATTGTTGCGGTGTTTGTTAGGTGTGCGGGGTGTTTTCTTGCGTTATGCTGTTGTGCTTGTGTTACTGTTTGAGTTTTGGATTTACTTTTACTTCTTAACTTTATTATGTATATATTTTTTTGTGTTCGAGTCTTATTTACGCAAAGCATCCATTGAGCTCCTTTCTCGAAAGCGGAAATGAGATGCGTTTGTGTTGCGTTGCGCTCCGATAGATTTGTCACTTGGCGTTCGGCCTCTCGGCCGAGTCACGTGACCTCGCGGATGTGGCGCTAGCATTAGCATTAGGTGCGCTCACCTGCAGGAGGTGGGAGGAGAACCCCGCCTGCGCCATCTGCAGGCCGAAGCCCCGCCCCAGCCCGTCGCTTCCTGACAAACACGAGAGCAATCAATGAGCATCCGCTGAAGGCTAAAATGGAAAACAAACGTGACACGCCGGCGCTCATCTTGCCAAATTGACCTTCCAGTGAGAAGATCCGCTCTCCCAGCGCGTCCACGATGTCCTTGAGCGCTGCCTCGTCGGTCACATTGAAGAAGTGATCCTCATCCGGGTCGCTGGCGATGAAGCGGATCTCCTTCAGAAACGACGACGGGTCGATGCCGCGGCGGTTGTAGTACCCCAAAACCTCAAAACACACGCACAGAAAGTGCCGCCATGTTAGAAGTCACACAGGAAGTGCTTCCCATATTGGTAAACACACAGGAAGTGCTAGCATGTCGTGCTGTTGGTTTGTGTTTTTGTCCTTGGCTTACGTGTGTGTCGTGCTGCGCGGTTGTGGGGGTTACGTTTCTGTTTTTTGTGTTCTCTCAGTGCGACTGCGTGCATGGTGATGCTGTGTTTCTATTGTTTTGTTGTTGCATCACAATAGGGTTCATTTGCGTTGCGGCAACGCGATGGGGTACGTGGTGCCGCTGTGTCGCGTTTGTATTGTGGTATCGCGACGTGTTGTGTAGTTGTGTTTCCCTTTTGTGGCGTGTGGCCTCACCGCGATGGCGTACATGGTGATGTTGTCGCTTTTGCAGCGCGCGACGGCGTCGTCAAGCTGAGCATTGTCATGAGATTCTCCATCTGTGATCACCACCAACACTTTGTGAGCACCGGCGCGGCCGCCACGCTTGAACCCCTGTGACCTAAGCAAACGGCGACACACAGACACGCATTTGTACACGTCACACGGACACCAAACGTGACGCCCGAGTTGAGGTCAGCGGCGCACCTGGCCATGTTGATAGCTAAGGCCGTGCGGGTCTCCTCGCCTCCCCGCTGTCTGATGTCAGCGACCGCCTGCAGGACCTCGTCCACCGTCCGGTGCTCGCCCAGACGGAACTCGTGGGCCACCCGGGAGCCGTACTGCACCACGCCTACCTGCGCACCCCCACACCGTTGTCACGGTAACGCACAAGGGCGAGGAGGACAGAGACTATGGATATGGAGTGGAGGACAAGGACCACCAAGAGGAAAGTCAAGCCAACGACGAACAGGGGGAAGAACGAAGAGGAGAAAAAGCAGGAAGGCGGAGCCGGACGATGAAGATGACGACGACGACGATGTGGGAGACAAGGACCTGAGTCTGCCCGGGGCCGATGTTGACCTTGCGCAGAATGTTGACCAGGAAGTCTGTGACATCCGACCACGGGTAGATGGAGTTGGAGCCGTCCACCACCATCAGCAGGTCCACGAACGTCTCGCATCCTGCGCCCACACCAGACGGATGTGCATGTGGACGTGCAGACCTACGGACGCTCCGTGGAGACCAACGCACACGGACTTACTCTGGAAAGCGGGAATAACGGTCTCCAGGATTTGGAAATGTTCTCCCACATGTGTGCAGACTCCCGACGTGTAGACGGAGCTCCCGCACTCGTGAGACCAGAGCGGGCCGCACGTCTGACCACACAAACGTGTCATCACGTGGTTAGCATGTGAGCCTGTGTCATTGTTAGCATGACGCAAGTTCGTGTGATAGCATGTTGATAATTAACATGTTAGCATTGTTAGCACCTTAGCATAGTCATGTGTCATTTTTGGCGTGTTAGCAGATGTCATTGTTTGCATGCATCATTGTTACCATTTTTAGCACGTGAGCATGTAGTTGTGGCTGTGCATGTGTGTTTTGTTAGCGTGTTAGAATGTCAGCAAATGTCATCGTTCACAAATTTATATGCATCTTTGTGATCATCTTAAAAGGTCACTGTGAGTCATTGTTAGCATCTTATCATGTGTCATTAGTACCATGTTAGCATATTCATGCGTTAGCGTGTGTGTGTGTGTGTGTGTGCGCGCGCGCGCATGTGTCACTGTTAGTGTTAGCATGCTAGCATGTGTTACCATGTGGCATTGTGAATGTAGAAGCATGTGTTTGTCGGCATTTTAGCACGATTCATTGTTAGCATGCATGAAATTACCATGTTAGTATGAATTTTGTTAGCGTATTACGGTAGTACTCATCATTGTTACTGTGTTAGCATGTTAGTGTGCATCATTGACAGCATTTACGGATTTGTATGTGTGTGTTTGGACTTGTAGTATGTGAGGATGTGTTAGCACGTATTAGTACGTGACCAACCACAAAGCTTCCGTCCTTGCGATCTGTGGTGAGCGTCATTCCCAGTCTCATCCCATCTTTGCGCTGCGCCAGCACGTTGTCCACGGACACGTTTCCTGGTCACGTGACATCACGTCAACGTATCGTGTGATGGGCCCGGAAAACCTGAGCCGCGTTACTCACCCAGGTGCAGGCGGCTGCAGGCGCTGCTGGAATTGAAAGTGGTCCCGTCGTCCATGGGACACCTGAACACGTCGCCCGTCTGCTGGTCGTCCGTCCAGGCCAGGGGGGCACCCACCAGGAGCCTGCACACATACAAGTACAACACACACACTAATATACTGCTGAAGTCACTGGGGAATTTAAATGTAGTGTGAGAGCATGCCACTGTGCGTGGATGAATGAATATGGACGTTCGTGGACGTATTTCTGTGTCTTCGTTTGCTTCTGTGTGTGCGCGCGCGCACGTGCATGCGTGTGATGCTGAGAACGTGTGTGAGTCAGACGCCACATCTCATCATTAAGGACGATTAGACCTCATTGGGTTTCCTGTTTACGAATAAAACAGGCGCTCGTTGGCCCGAAGTGCACGGCGGGGCATCGCCTCTCTTGCCCTCACAACAAACACGATCAAGAAGGAGGAGGTGACGACCACGACGACGATGATGATGATGGTGAAGATGACCACGTCGAGCACACTTAGCTCGTTTTTGTCTTATTGAGTCCTCGTTTTTTGTCTTATTGAGTCCAGCTGCCTGTCAAGGAATTTTCCTTGGCGGCGGAGCAACATTCCCGGGATGACGGCAGAAGGAAGAACACATTGGAAACGAAAAGAAAAGAAAAAGACGAGCGCGAGTACGGCTGAGATGGAAAATGCAGGAGAGGAAGGAGGACAGGAGGCCCGGTGCTCCTCACCATTGTCGTCCTTGCGCGTTGTGTTGTCGTAACGTGTAGCCGAAGTGGCTCTCCTCCCAGCCTCGGAAGATCTGCGCCCGCTTGGTGTCCAGGTTGAAGCACACGCAGCCGCCTGTCGCCAAAGCAAACACACACACACACACACAAATGTTGATGATGGAGCTTTCGGGTGAAATTTCAAACCCTAAAAATACGAGAGTGGCGGCTTGAGGTAAGAGTCGAGCCAACTTGGGATGGTTGGAGATGCGAGCAATTGCTTTTTTTTCCTCGCTTCGACTTGTGAGTGCAAACTTGAGGTTTGAGAGACAATTGCACCTGGAGCTTCTCAAACAATTTCACCTTCAAAAAGTCCGCTTGGCTTCATGCTGATGAAAAATGCAACATGCCATTGACATGCTAATGCTAAAACATCAATTTTTACGGGGCAAGCCAAACTCGCCAACAAACCGTCACAAATTGGTTTTTGATTTCTATTGAACTTTTTTTTTTATGAAGAAAAACCCCAAATGAGATTACCCAGAGAAAACCCACGCAGGCATGGGAGAATATAAAAACTCCACATAGGAAGGCCGGGGCCGCACTCGAACCCTGCACCGCTGCACTGTGAGGCTAACGTGCTAACCAATTGACACTGTGCCACCTGTTAAATATTCATATTGAGATAGTTCGATAGTAATCCCTCACTATAACACGGTTCATCTCTCACAGCTTTGATGTTTCATAGATTTTTTTAGTGGGCCATTTTTGTGTAGTTTTTCCAGTGCATTGTGTTCTGCATCCTGATTGGCTAACGGGCTGTCAACACTCTCCGCGCCTCATCGCTGCACAGCTTGCCAAATTTTCTCCATGACAAAACGCAGCATGTTGACAAAACTTTCAGTACAGTATTTCTAAAAACTGTCAGTTGTTTGGAAGAAAACATTTATATTTGTTTTTTTTGTGTGTGTGTTTTTTTTTTTTTAGGTTTAATCTTTGGTGTCATTCAATACAGTATTGTAATGTCCATCCGTCCACTTTCTGTCGCTGAGAAGGAACCGATCCCACGCGGCCTGCACACGAGTCAGGCGAATGTAGCACGAGGCCAGCGGCGACACTGAGCGTTGTAAATGTCATCATTGTAAGAAATGAAGATGACAACTTCAGGAATGCAATCCCCGCGACCGATGAGGGTTTGCCGTCTAGTGTGGTGTGTTTGTCACCTGGCAGAAGGCCGCAGATCATCGAGCTGATGAAGAAGCGGCGCCAAGAATCCATCACGGTCACCCGAGAGATTCGAAAGCCGATGTCCAAATCCAAGACGTGAGGGGAAGATGTTAACTCCACTCTCGCCCGACAGCCCTTTTATCCGGAGTGGGCAGGGCCTAAGCACGCGACACCCCTTCGAGCCCCTTCCAAGACCTTCTCCGTCCTCCTTCTCCCCTTTTCTTATTCGTCACCGTCCTTTCTTGGCTGCAGCCAGAGCAGGAAATGTGCGTGCCACATGTCAACGTGCTCTTCCATGTGTGTTTTTTTTTTTTTAGGTTTAATCTTTGGTGTCATTCAATACAGTATTGTAATGTCCATCCGTCCACTTTCTGTCGCTGAGAAGGAACCGATCCCACGCGGCCTGCACACGAGTCAGGCGAATGTAGCACGAGGCCAGCGGCGACACTGAGCGTTGTAAATGTCATCATTGTAAGAAATGAAGATGACAACTTCAGGAATGCAATCCCCGCGACCGATGAGGGTTTGCCGTCTAGTGTGGTGTGTTTGTCACCTGGCAGAAGGCCGCAGATCATCGAGCTGATGAAGAAGCGGCGCCAAGAATCCATCACGGTCACCCGAGAGATTCGAAAGCCGATGTCCAAATCCAAGACGTGAGGGGAAGATGTTAACTCCACTCTCGCCCGACAGCCCTTTTATCCGGAGTGGGCAGGGCCTAAGCACGCGACACCCCTTCGAGCCCCTTCCAAGACCTTCTCCGTCCTCCTTCTCCCCTTTTCTTATTCGTCACCGTCCTTTCTTGGCTGCAGCCAGAGCAGGAAATGTGCGTGCCACATGTCAACGTGCTCTTCCAATTCCTGGCAGAAGCCCCCCTCCCAGCCCGCTACTGCCAGTCAGGTCGCCCAGCCACCCACACCCCAGCATGACCAGGGCACCTTTATTGTTACATTTTCGGTGGACTGTAAAGTGCCTTTGAGTGTCGACAAAGAGCTTTTTATCTATTTAATTGATGTGATTATTACATCATCATCATCGTTATCATAATTGTTGTTTTTTTACAGGACATTATTTTTTTATTTATAGTATTTTTACATTTGTATTACTATGCAAATATATTCCAATTATTTTTATGTTATTGTTTTTTTTTCGATTGTTTTATTATAATTATTTCATTGAATTCGTATTGTGTATATCATATTAAATTATATTGTATTAAATGATATTATTAATTATAATTTCAAATGATATTTTAAATTTGTATTATGCATAACTGCATAATATATACCTGTATATATATATATGTTCTTCTGTTTTTGTTTATTTAGTTTGTATTTTATTTTTGTAAATTGCATTTGTATTATTACTTGATATTTTCAGACACAGAGCCCCTCCGACTCCGCACTTGCGCTGTTTGTTGACACAGACAAAGGTATTCAACACTTGCACACGCGCACAAACACACACACACACACACCTGCACACAGACGCACACGCACACACACTAACCGTTCGGTCCAAGGGAAGCAAGACTTTTCAATTTCATGCTTGTTATCTTGGAAACGATCATCTAAGGAAAACAGTTTCTTTCTCTCTCTTCCAAAGGCACGCGCGCGTGCGCGCGCGCACGTTCGCAGCCATCCAGCGGCGGGTGTCTGCGCGAGCGCGTTGGAAACAACAAGTGGAAAGTTGCGGTCATGATTAAGGGGAAGCAGATGTGGACGGAATGGTGTGCGAACGCGACACCACGTCATCGTCATCGTCGTCATTGCAAGAAACACTCGCCGGTGTCCTCACACCTGCTGCAAGACCCAAGGAACTTTGTTTTGAAAAGCACTTCGGTGCGCCTTTTTTTTTTTCGAAACTCTTGATGGTCCCCCGTTAAGGAACTTTGTATCATTGGGCTCCAAACCTTGCATGCGCGAATGACAGCTGTGGACCACACTGGGGAGGAGGAGGGGGAGAAGAAGAGGAAGGAGGGAAGAAAAGGAAGGACGGACGGAAGGAAGGAAGGAAGGAAGGAAGGAAGCGGGTGATGGTGGTGGCAGCATCGTGTGGTCTGAGGGCTGCTTTTCCTCAGCAGGGCCAGAGTAGATGCAGTGAAAACAGATGGGACGACGAATGGAGCCAAAATACGCGACCATTTTGGAAGACAACCTGTTGGAGTCAAGCAAAAGGTCCAGAAACTGGGACGGAGGTTGACATTCCAACAAGACCAAAAAAAAAAAAAAAAAAAGCCGAAATCCAAAACAGATCAACTCAAAAGCGACGGCAAGAAAAAGAGAATCCAAGTTCAGCCCCACTAAACGGAAGTTTGCAAGCGCACTACATGCACGTGGACCGGATCGTCCCCATTTTCGAGTCTCTCGTGTGAACTTCCATTTCACCCTCCTTTGTGTAATTGTTCATGTATGTCTTGCACGTATGAAATATCGTAAAGCTTTTACATTCAAACACGGTTTCCTGCTTACGAAAATAAAAGTCGGAAATCGGGTCCATGTGTTCAACAAGACAGGAAGCAAAACGTACAACTTTTTTTATTTTAGCAAAACGTATACCTTCTTTTCTGCAAAAGATGGCAGTCATCAGGCAATCCTGCTCAGGACTTTGCAGAGGATCTCAGGATTGGTCCTGCGGTGCCTCCAAGTGGCCTGGCAAACTTCCGGTCAGTTGCGGGTGTTTTGGGTATCCCGGGTTTTGCATTTCTTTTACGGTTTTGTAATGTTTGCTTCCATTTTGTTGGTAGCAGCGTTTCTTTCGTTTACGTGTGTGTGTTTTTGCGCAAATGTGTTTTATTTATTTTTACCCGTGAATGCAGCGCCTCTCACTTGGAGCTTGCAGTTACAGTACTTGTGTTTTTCTTGGTTTGCACTTGTGTGGGTTTGTCTTTTTTTGTTGGTGGTTTGCAGCATTCCCGTTTTTGCAGCCTTCGGCCTTTTGCGGGGCGTTTCCCCCTCCGTCGTACGGTCACGATTTATCATTTGCATATGTACATTTCTGCGTGTGACTTGATGAATGTGCATGTGCGGATTTTCAATACGTCTGAGCTTTCCGGGCGTTGAGGGGCCATCCCTCTTCCGTCCGCGAGGAGGCGGTGTTGCTCCGTCCGTTTGTCGTTTCAAAGTTGGAAATATGACCAACCGAAAACGAGCCCTTTTCTGGTCATCCAACACATACCAGGAAACAAAATACGTCCGTTTTTTATTTGCTTCCTTCAAGCTCGTTTTGCCTTGACCCGGAAAACGCTCTTCTTCCGCTACAACCTTTGCCATGCTCTTTGCACGAAAGTTGTTTTTTTTTTCCCGACTTGGTAAATGGTTCTTATTATTAAGAGGTGCAAGAATGTGTGTGCGTACGTGCGTGCACCATACCAGTGTGACAGCATTTTACTAAAACAAGACAATGGAATGTTTTTAATAAATACATGAAATGTATACGGAACAGAGTTGGCATGTGTTGGTGTGAGCTGCGTGGCGTCCATAGCGTTGCAGATTTTCATGTAGCCCGGTCGGAAAATGAATTGTCCGACCGCGCGCTGGAATCCATTCCAGCGAGAGACTGATCCGGTGCCATGTGGATCGTGTGGCTCATTAAGTCCGATCCGGCGTTCCGGATTTTACTCGCTTTGTACCAGTCCTGAGTGGATCCGCGGTGGTGCTTTCTCTCGTGCGTTCTTGTCGTATTTTCAAGGAGAATATTTGCACTTTGGGACCCATTGGGACCATCCAAGCCGCTCATGGGACTGTCGGGCTTCGTTCCCTGTTGCGCCGGTCCGGCTCACTGAGTGCGGGATGTGCGGCTTGGCGGCAGCGTGCAGGCCGGGGGGGCCCCGGGGCCGTGTGACGGCTGCGCTCCACTGAGGCCAGCCAACGAACCGGGAGCCCGTTCGCCACTCTTCCGCGGGTTCGCCGCCTGGCCTGTCCGGGCCTTATGGAGTGCACGTGAAGCGGGCCGCGTCGGAATTGTAAGCGGGGTAAGTGGCCGTGGTCGACTGGCGCCGACCAGGCCGATGCTCGCTCGCTCGCTCGGCGGGCTAGCTCAGCGGGCTAACTGTCGCCGTCTTTGTCTGTAGACGCCGGGGAGCTAAGTACTCTGCTTCCATCGTCGGACACGTCCTCGTCTGACCTGAGTCGCGCACTTGACACTTTCCTTTACTTTCGACCACTTTCTGTTTGACTTTCGATTGATTCCTCATTGGGGGGGGGGGGACTTGCTGAACAAACACGTCACTGTGGTTTCAGGACATGACGGAAACTTGGTCTGTTTGAGCCGAAATTAGCACCCGAGTCTTGTTCTCGAGCCCTTGGTTGTCTGTCGGGCGGAAAGCTTGCACCCATTTGCTCGTGACAACGACAGTGAGCAAGTTCATGTCCAACGTTTGTGCAGATATAACCGGGACATTCTAACTTTGCTCAATCGCTGCAATTGGAGGTTACGACAGCTTGTCACATCTCAAGTAACGACTTCAGATGACGTTACATTAAGCGTGCACACACACACGTTCACACCCGAGTGTAACATTGACATCGCTTTTAAAAACACTCAAGTGATGTTTATCGGTGCGACAGGGGGGAATTCGGGCAATTGCGGCATCTGCGAGCTCAACTTGGGATGTTTTGGATAAACAGACGCGTCCGATAATGGATCCCGCCAGCCGTGAAGCAGCGGGCCACCGCGGGCCTAGATGGAAGGGTCCGTATATCCAGCAGCGTCCCGGCGTAATATTCGATGTTTGCCGCAACGTTCGCCATCGTTGAGTGGCTTTCATGGCAACAAAGTTCACTTGGGAGAGCCGTAAACTTTTCTTTGCGTGCCCGTTTGCGCTTTAGACAGCCAGGCCGACGACTTCTGTCGGCTAACATGCTAACTATTAGCCGCTTAGCTTGCGAGCTAGTCGGGTGTTGGCAGTCTCGTGAACGAGCTGTCTTAAGGCACTTGTTTGCATTTTACTTGACATATTTTTTTCAACGCAGCCTGAAGTGTTAATAATTGAAGTGGTCCGCCCGTTAAACTGTGCGCCAAACCCTCCAAATGTTTGTAACCTTGCTATCGTGAGGCTAGCGCCGCGACGCAAATGTGCGTCTTAGCTTCAAACTTTTCTCACGAGTCATATTTCAACAATTTATTAATTCAGGCGAGCGCTGTTGAATGTTTGTTAACATGATCAGTTGTCGTGAAACTGGCCCTACATTTGCAATTACAATAGTGACTAAGAGGTGAGGGGAAAACACCAAAAGCCATCTTAATTTATGAGAATGCCCAAACTGGAAGATGACAAAGTGAAAAATGTCAACTAAGGTTAAGTTTTGATGAGAACATGTATCGATTCATTTTGTAAAGGTTATTTGCACAACTATTTTTTGTAACACGTCCGTATGTTTGTCATTCAAATCTAAGTATGATAAATATTGAAATATGAGAAAGCAATAGCCCTAAGAAATGTTACTAATAGACTAATACAATCTAATTAGTTTCATATTGACATTGCAGTGTGCACAAAGACCTCGGTTAACTTGTTTACAGGAATGCTGAGGTACTCCTTCACAAAAATATGCATGACGAGTTGCATCACTTTTGTGTGTGTGTGTGTGTGTGTGTGTGTGTGTGTGTGTGTGTGTGTGTGTGTGTGTGTGTGTGATATGGGCAGTCCATTTTCAAAACTGTCGTAGAAATGAAATGTGTCAAAACTTGTAATAAGATGTGTTTTGTGTCGTGCAGGAAGCCATGCGGGCAGCAGGGCGACGGCGCCGGGCCCAGCCCTGAGCAGGCGTCCTGCGGCTGGCTGGGAGGAGCGCGGCCCTCCTGCAGCCCCCCATCCGCGGCGCTCCGGGACGCCCCTACTAAGATGTCCCTCAGCAGCGGCCCTGCAGGCGGGAAAGGTGTGGACTCGAATGCGGTGGACGCGTACGACAGCGGTGATGAGTGGGACATCGGCGTGGGCAATCTGATCATTGACCTGGACGCCGACCTGGAGAAGGACAAACTGGAAATGTCCGGCAGCAAGGAGGGCGGCCCTGTGGCCGGCCCTCCCGGCGCCGTGGCCGCTCTGCCCGACAACATCAAATTCGTCAGTCCCGTGGGTGGCGGGCAGGGAAAAGACGGCAAATCCAAATCCAAGCGCGCTAAGAACTCCAAAGAAAGCGCCAAGACGGCCGCGCCACCACCGGATGTCGTAAAGAAGGAGCTTCTGGCTCGGGCCCCCGGGGACCCTGTGGTGCCCCACAACCTCACTTCGGGGCTGACTAAGGGGGGCGACAAGTCCGGCAAAACCTCGCGGCTCCTGCCGTCCGTCAAGAAGGACAAAGACGGTGTGTTGGCAAAGACTAAGAAGGACAAAATGGAAGTGGACAAGGAGACAGCGCTGCCCGGGGCCCCCCTTCCTCGCAGCGGCCCCTTTGAGGGCCCGCAGAACTCTGAGGCCCCGGCCGCCGATCTCCTGGGTCACGTGGGTCATGTGGCTCTGGACTCTGCCGGCATGGGCCAGCCGGTTTCTATGACGACTGAGGAGGAGGAAGAGGAGGACGAGGAGATGGACAGCGCCGACTGTCGCAACCTCAAAAAGATGCTGTGTGGGGACAAGGTAAGATTGGGGACACCTTGGCTCGATTCGTTTGAGAGACTGTTTATTGAAAAATAAGTGCGTGCGTGTGTGTTGTCAAGGAGTCGCTGAGGAAGTTTTGTTCCCAGGCGCCTTAATTGTCAAAATTATGCTTTTAACGATACAGCATGGAAACGGAAAACGGCAGCCTTCTAAGACGCCAGCCTGTGTTGTTTTATCAGCAGTGGAACACGTCGTAGTTGCGCAAAAACAAGGCTTTCTCACAGAAAGGTGGAGAAAATGAGCTTCTTGTGAAAAGAAATCGGCTCACGTAGAACAGTGACGAATATTTCCTGCTTTTTTGATACCTCAAACGGTAAAAGAAGGGAAAACAAGAGTGAGGGTGGACTTTTGATGGCCAAATAATGTTTTGTTTCCAGAGGCAGAGCAATGGCTCCATTTGAGGGCCATTGGCTTTTTTGAGTACTCTTTCTGGTCAGTCAGTGACTGGCGTAAGGAAAACGGCGGCTACCGCTAATGCTAGCTCAACAATGTGAGAGAAGCAGGAAACGTAGCGATGATGAGAACGAACCTTGAAATTGGGTCTGGGAGGCTCCGCCTCCTCTTTTTTATTGGAGGGGGGGGTTGTTTTCTCAACAGTTTTTTTCTCTTGACCAGACTTCCAAGTTTGCTTCACGGACCCTCACCTCCAAATGTGTGGAGCCTCACGCTTGTTTGTGTTCCAGATGGAGTCACCCAGCTCCACGCCGGCCGCGCCCTCCCTGCACCTGCTAGCCAACAGCGACATCTCCTCGCCCTGCGAGCAGATCATGGTGCGCACGCGCTCGCTGGCGGTCAACACGGCGGACGCGGCGCAGGCCACCGAGCCCGAGTGCCTGGGGCCCTGCGAGCCCGGAACCAGCGTCAACCTGGAGGGGATCGTGTGGCAGGAGACCGAAGACGGTGGGTGAAAAACGCGCCCGCTGCTAACGTCCGTCATCGGCGTTCGGGAGTCGCGAATGAGCAAATTATTCCCAAGGCGGTCACAATCATTCATTTGCGCTTTCCCGACTCCCCAATCACTTCGGGGTTTTTTTTTGTGTGTGTTTATCGATTCACGTGTTGACATCTGTGCGTGACGTCTTCCTGTTTTCATGCGATTATCTTAATTGTGCCAATGCAGGAAGCATTTGCACATTAGTCCCTTCATTTCTCGTTCTTCTCCCCCCTTTTTTGATGCCGAAATACTCCCGCATTCCTCGACCAATTCACATCCTTCCAAGTTCCACCTATTTCAGAAGTTGACGGAAGGCGGGGTTTTACTTTTCTCCAAATTCGAGATTCACACATAGTGAGCACCGGTGTCCACATTTGTTGAGCGATGCAAGCCGTTCTTTCTTGCAACCGTTTGGCTCATTCGACATCATTCCATAATCATATCACCATCCGATTCCCTCTCATTTGGAATCATTCCCAATATTTGCGCCCAATCTCTCGAGACTAATACGTTGATGTGTTTATGTGGCGCAGGGATGCTGGTGGTGAATGTGACGTGGAGGAACAAGACCTACGTGGGAACCCTGTTGGACTGCACCCGACACGACTGGGCCCCTCCCAGGTTGGTTTTGGCCGATGGGCGCAAAGCGAAGCGCCCAGCACGTCCTGAGCGCGCTGCCGATGTCTTTCAGGTTCTGCGATTCTCCCACCAGCGACGTCGAGATGCGAGGCGGGCGAGGCCGAGGCAAGCGGATGCGCCCGGCCGGCGCCGTGCCCGCCAACGACAACAGCACGTCGTCGGACAACAAAGGAAGCGGCAAGACCCGCGGCGGTGGCGCCGGCGCCAACGGCAAAGGCCGGCGCGGCAGCCAGACCGG